TTGTTTTTTTTTTTTTTTTTTTTTTTTTTTTTTTTTTTGGATAGTCAGATCGGTATTTGTTTCTGGCGTTTTTAATGTCCATGGGGCTATTCTTCCATGGTTGCGTTCGATAATAGGTGTTGAAGTGATTTCTGTTGTATTCGGATATTTTTTTAATCTTGTACGGAATGGTGCCGGTAGTCTTGAGTTTCTGTTGTGGTGGTTTATTAGTCTGTCGGCAAAGGTGTTGTTTTATGTTGGGTTGCTCGGTGTTGACACTATTTTTATAGCGTATCTTAGGCTTAGTAATTTTCTTCTCTGGGGCATCTTTCCTTGGCTTCAAATAGCATGCTGGTTATTGGGCTTGTGCGGTAGCTTCCTGTGGCTAGTCTGAATGTGTTCTGGATGGGTTGGTTTCTTTTGTTTGGTCGATTGTTGCTTCTTTGGCTGAGGAGTCGTTTCCTTCAATTCCTTGGTGTGACGGGATGCAGGTTAACTGTATTTTAAAAGTTGTCTCTGTTCTCTAATGTTTGCGAGAATTTTGTAGAAAGTATTTCTGCAGTTGCTATATAGTAATAGAGTATAGTAGAAATAAACCCGAAAAGGAAACGTCGAAACTGCGCGATCGCAATAAAAACCGACGGCTTTCCGGCGATGGCCTTCGGTCTTTTACGAACAGCTAACCAACCAACGCGCTTTCTCACCGAGCCACCCTCTCTCGTTTGTTTCAGATTCCCCAGAAAGAGATGCGACGGCTCGTCAAGATCGTCTAGCCGAAGCTGAGAAACCTTCGTCCCAAGAGCCACGACCGTGTTTCTCGGGAACAAACAATCAACGAGCGGCAACTCGCTGAGTTTCGCGACAGGGACCGACGTTGTCGTAAGAAAAAAAAAAGAAAAAAAAAAGAAAAAAAAAAGAAGAAAAGAAGAAAAAAACATAGAGAAAGAAATCCGTGTACAGGTGTCTCGTGCGGATCTTCCGTCGGATTGAAAAGGAGAGCGAGGAAAGAAAATGAGAGGCAAGACGAGAGTCGGGAGGAAGAAACGCGGCGTCGACGGATCGACGACCTGATAGGACCGTGTCTCCGGATTGAAAGAGCGCGCAAAGTGGTGGGCTGGCGCGCGGCGGCCGTCCGACGAAAAATGAACGAAAGCGCGGTCTACCTGCTCGGATCGGAAGAAGAGGCAAACGTGCCGAGCAATCAGCTGAACCGTAGTTTCTACAGCGCGAGCTACCCGCCGCAGAACCGCACCGGCGGCGGCGATGACCTGTGGAACCTTGCCACCGACCGAGTCGGTCTAGCGATACTCCTGTTCCTGTTCTCGGTGGCCACCGTGTTCGGCAACATGCTGGTGATCCTGGCGGTGGTTAGGGAGAGGTATCTGCACACGGCGACCAATTACTTCGTCACGTCGTTGGCGTTCGCCGACTGTCTGGTCGGTCTGGTGGTGATGCCGTTCAGCGCGATCTACGAGGTGCTTGAGAATCGTTGGCTCTTCACCACGGACTGGTGCGACGTCTGGCGTTCGTTGGACGTCCTCTTCTCCACCGCGTCGATCCTCAATCTCTGTGTCATCAGCCTGGATCGTTACTGGGCCATCACCGACCCGTTCACATATCCGAGCAAAATGAGCAGGAAACGCGCGGCAATTCTCATCGCCACCGTATGGATATGCTCGAGCGCGATCTCGTTCCCGGCGATCGCTTGGTGGAGAGCGGTACGCACGGAGGAGGTGCCGGAAGACAAGTGCCCGTTCACCGAGCACCTCGGTTATCTGATCTTCTCGTCGACCATCAGCTTCTATTTGCCCCTGTTCGTGATGGTGTTCACCTACTACAAGATCTATCGGGCCGCGGTGATCCAGACCAAGAGCCTGAAGCTCGGCACCAAGCAAGTTATAATGGCCTCCGGTGAATTGGAGCTCACTCTGAGGATACATCGAGGAGGCGGGACCAACACCGACGCCAGGCACCTGTTCCGCACCGCCTCGAGCACGCCGGAGGACCTGCAGGATCTCGAGGAGCCTCTGACCGCCATGCACAACAACTGTTTAACCAGGGTCCCCTCGACCAGGATCAATAAACAGCACCGTGGCAACAATTTCTCGTTGTCGCGCAAGCTGGCCAAGTTCGCCAAGGAGAAAAAAGCCGCCAAGACGCTCGGCATCGTGATGGGCGTCTTCATCATCTGCTGGCTGCCGTTTTTCGTCGTTAACCTCTGGTCAGGCTTTTGCTCGCAGTGCATATGGCAGGAGAAGATCGTGTTCGGCGCGGTGACGTGGCTCGGCTGGATCAACAGCGGTATGAACCCGGTGATATACGCCTGCTGGAGCAGAGACTTCCGGAGGTAAGCTTCTTGTTATCTTGAGACTTTATTTATATTACTGTCTGGTGATGTTATTTTTTTTTTTTTATTAAATAATTAGGCAGAGGACTACTATCAACAATATCTAATGTATTTACAAAAGCAAATCTTGTTGCACTTGTTTTCTGTTAAGGGGATCAGGGCAGTTTTGACTGGGCTAAAAATTACGAAATGATTACTTTGGAGAGCTAGTAAAACAAAAGTACATGTTTGATGGGCATGAGCTTTTGTGGTTTATTTTAACACGTTACAAAATAATAAAAAGCAACATTAAAAAAGAAAAAAAAGAGGGTTTTTATTTAACTTTGTAACGGCATCCTTTTACATAAATTTTTACATTACATTGCCTATCGGTTGTCAAATAGGATTAGCTGCAACAAAAAGTTCAAAAGTAAATAATATTCTCTAGGGATTGACGATCCAACATTTTCATTTTTGTGAAAATTATAGCAGCTACTTGTTTTTGAAATGTATCGAATTTGTGTCAAAAATTTCTGCGTTTTTTGTTTATATTTTTCGAAATTATTAAAAATTTAAAAAATGTTCGGTCGTCAATCCTTAGTAAATGTTACACTGAGAAGATACGTACCAAGTTTCACAGTAATCGGTTGGTTAGATTCCAAGATATCTTGCACACAGTTTCGAGAAAAACGCGTTCAAAGTTTCAGAACGTCATTTTTCATACGTATCCTTTACTTATTATTTTTACTTATGTATCGCAGTTCTTACAATTCACAACTAAATTGAATCCAAGACCCCTAGTATTCGATTCGCCAAAAGCAATAATTGAATCGCACGATTTACACTTTACAGCGATACAAATTCAATTATTCTGTATCTGCGGATTTATTATTACCTCAAAATAAGTCGTTTTAAAGGCTAAAGACCTTTTGTATCTGATTTCCAAGACTTCAAACTACTATTTAAAACAAAACAAAAGAGAAAATCGATTTTTTGAAAATTTCAAACTGTCTCGACCCCTTCGCTTCTAACTTACATATGTGACCATGTTGAGCCGTTGGCTCCTTAAAAGGAATATTCTAGAGAAATAATAAAAGTAATTGTACAGAGATGTGACATCTAATTAGCATAGTTCGCTCAGCTCTTGTTTCCTACCATATCGATACATTTTTACAGTTGCTATCTATTCTAACGGATGACAAATCTTCTTGAAATTTCATTCTCGAGGAGATGTACGAGGAACTTTGTGTTCCTTTCGTGTTCCGGAAAGATTTCGTCGTACGAAACGGTGTACTTACGACGGTACGTTTACCGATATCGCTGCCAACTGCCGTTGGCTAGACATCGGTAAACGGGTCTCGATGCCACCGGCGAAGTTAATGGACTTGTAACTACGTCAGACAGTTGCGGATTGCGACTTTGAGAATTAATGAGCAAAGAGAGACGAGCTAATAGGATCGTGGGTAAATGTGTTTCGCCGAGTCCAACGAGTCACGAGAAATGGTTGAGTAGCTGTGTCTGATCTCTCCAAAGATGATTAATTAACGCGACAGGTTATTTCCAAAATGACGAGTTAACGAACAAACTTTCTCCGAGAGCTCCCGCTCCAAACACCATGAAAAACCTTAAAAAAAAAAAAAAAAAATCTTCGAAAAAGAAGTTAGTTGGAAAATTGGCTGCTTGATGAACCAATGATCTCGACTCGAAACAGAGTGATCTTAGAACGACCAATGAACATCCGATAGTGGCTACCCAATCTCGTCGAAAATACAGTCGAAAGCAGTTTCCGAACACGAGGAGGTTACGATCCGATCCGATCCGATCCGATCCGATCAATCGTCGCCATTGTAAAACCGGCTTTAGATAAAAGCGCTTTCCGAACGACCGCGCGGCAAATATTTCCCTATTTTTCTAACCGGATGGAAAATGGCACACGGCGGGCTGATTGTTCGGGCAACGATCGGTCGGAGGGCCCGGGGGAAGCACGTTCTGTTTGAACGGGCTTAAGCTACAGTGACAAATCACCGGGCGCAACTTCCGGTATGTTAGCTGTCCCCATCCGCGTTCGCGAATGGATGCACTGAATAATTGGCGACAAAGTTCCAGGAGAAAGCGGAAGGTATGCAAATAACGCGATTTAATTACGCGTTGCCGTACTCGTTCCGCGAGGAGGCGACCTCTCCCGCCTCCCTCCCCCGCCCTCATGGCTGAAAATGGAACGTGAAAACCGTGACAGGAATGAATCGCGCGAACGCGAAAGAATCCGCCGTTGTTCTAACGGCAACCGTTGTCCATTTAATTAAATCCTACTTACGGGACGCTGCGAACTCGCTCCGCTCCCTCGTTCTCTTGATTCTCTCCGATCCGCGTGGTAAACGAAACTGGTACACGGCGTATCGCGTATGTGGGATCGATCGGTCGGCCACCAGCGCACGGCCCCATCAATCTTTTTCCGGGTTCCGAGCGCGGAAACGAGACGTTCTCCGACTGATTTTTCAAAAAGTCGTTCCGGTTGGAAATGCGGACGAGCAACCGGGTGTAATACGGTCGGTGAAAAACGACGAACAACGTTCGGGCGATAAATAACGGCAGATACGCGCGGTGACGGGGGGGAGAAAACGGAAAGTGTAAGTGAAACAAAAGGGAGTGAAACGGGGAGCGAGCGAGGAACGAAAGGTGGCAAAAGGTGACGCGAACGAAAAGGGGACCGAAAGGGAGCATTAACTCGATGGACCGTGATGCAGGCTTGTATTTGTCTCAATCTTGAGTTGTTTCTTTCAGCACGGAGGAAAGAAAACACTGTTCTCCAGCTGACTATCATTTTGCTGTATTTGTGATGAATGATATAATATAATTAAATATATATATATAATATAATATAATGTAATTAAATGTAATTGTGTGTACACATTCATATATAAAATTTATCCTAATGACAATGACAATAATAAGACTTTACTCTCGATCTTTCATAAATATGCATAATACGCGAGATATCTGAAAAAAGTACAAACCTCTTTTGTAGAATTCTGTATATTTAAAAGAAAAATCAGAGTATAAAGCAAATGTAAATTGTTCTATACAGGGTGTTTCGTAATTTGCGGGAAGTTCGGGAACTGACTGTACGTCTAAAAATAATGAAAAAAGTCATATAGATATATGTTCTATCTGTCTTCGTTTATGAGATATAATGAATTTTCTGTTTTAATTACTTTTACAAAAGATGCTCGAAATGACCAGCTTGCATTTGAAGACAAGCCTGCACGCGT